AACCCGAAGGCGAACAGTTGGCGGTGGCCGGGCGGCGTTGCAAGCCCCAAAAGTGAAAATTGGTTTAGTCAGCCTACTTAGCAGGGACGCGCCTACATCGGTGGCACCGAGCGCGCGCGAGGTCAAGGAACGCGTCGCTCGCCTTTTCGCGGCGACGCGGGGCGATCGAGCGACAGAGAGAGAGAGAGAGAAAGAGAGGCACGGCGGACGGAGGGCGATGCAAGATAAACACAGCCGCGGCCCTTCGGCGAGCGAGCTCGACAATGAGGCATGGAAATATTGTGTTTCTTTTTCATTTTCTCCCGTCATCCTCGCGACTACGCGCACCGCCAGCGCTTTCTCTTTCCCGCGTGCGCGCGGATTAATGCTTCTCTCCGTACCTGCGGCCCTTTATTTTTCTTCCCTTTTTTGTCGGCCCAGGCAAGGGTTTGCTTTGGCCCCGCACGGCCGCCTGTCCCGTTGCACCACGGAGGCCGTCGAGTGATGGATGAGGCGAGCTCGCGCGTGCGTGTGAGCTGCGTCGGGTGCGCTCCGAGGGTCGCGTTTACTCTCGGATGATTTTTCCACGGTGCGCGCGCGCATCGGGGACGGATTTCGTGCCGGATTCCGACGGCGCGTTTGTCGTCGGCGCGCCGATTGCGCAACTGATCGCCAGTCCGAAAATGGGGAACAATTGGAAATGCGTCGGCGCACGTGGCTCGCGCGGCGCTGACTCAGCCGCGGAAGGACGGCAAAGGCACGGCCAGCGATCCGATCGGCGCTCGCGGATTGGATTCGCGCGCGGCTCGATCGATGCGCGAGACGGAGCCTTGGCTGCCTGGATTTCGGTGCATCCTCGGCCGCCACCGAGTCGACGCGTCGTTCGCTTCCTACCGAGAAGGCTGATTGACGTTGGCAGTGCGCGCACGATGGCCGCGTGACCTTTATGCATAGGAGAGCTTGCGATGTTCCGGTTGCTCCCCTTTTTTTTACTTCGTGCGCGCTCTCGCTCACCTCCCTGATTAAAAGCTATCAAAAGTTGGAGAGGGAGCGATAACTCGGCTGCGGCCGCCGCTGTCGCGCCATCGCGGTCACGGAGGATCTATACCCATTGATATTGATTGGGCAGCACGCGCGACGTTCAAAAAACGTGCGCTCGAATTCGCGCTTTCCATGCTTTTCGCCAATTAACGTAGCCGACACTCGTTCGGGTACCAGCCTCGCTTCGTTTTGGCGTAAACAACAATCCACTTTTCCGCGGTAGTTGGGTAATTTACTATTGCGCTCGAACGCGCCCGCACCGAGGAAATGCTTTTTTCTTTAAGCCCGGTGTCAGGACGCGCGATTAGTCGGCGGCGAAACGAGGCGAAAGAAACGAGCGAGAGAGAGAGAGAGAGAGAGCGTTCTCTGTGCGCGCGTGCGTCTGTCCACGCCGAGCGACGTAATCGAGGCACCGCGATTACCCACTTACCATTGGCTCGTCGAATTTTGTTCTGGCTAATCCCTTTATGTGCGCGTGCAGAGAGCGAGCGAGAGAAACAGAGAAAATGAGAGAGAGAGAGAGGGAATACAGACGGAAAAAGCTCGCCACAGGGATTAGCGGAGATTAAGCGATCCGAGCCTCCGATAGCGATCGGCGAGATTTTCCCCTCGAGCTTTTTCCGCCCGCCGCCAGCGCCTATGGAAACAGCTACGAATTTAAATCTCTTTGTTTATATTTAATTGAACGACGCCGAGAGAGAGGGAGAGAGAAAGAGAGTGTGCGTCAATTGGAGCTGCGCGGTTGATTCATTATCCAATTAGCGTGCTCTAATCGAACGTTGGGATAGCTGCAATTTACTCGTTAGAATGGTCGATGACGCTAAGCCAAAAGTGAAAAAGCAGTTAATCACTTGGGCCGCGCGCGTTAGGCTGAGGCGTTCGCGTGGTATAAATAAGCCGAACGCGGCTCGGCTCAATTTCCTGTGGGCGCTCGCTCGCCGGGCCCAAGCCGCGCGCAGAAATAAGGAGAGCGCAGACGACGATCGCCGAGCCATAAATCGTTCGATTGCGCGCGGCCGCGCGAGCTGTTTACCCGGAATCCGGCGGCGGCTCGTCGTCCATCAAAACGCGCGCGGCTGCGGGAGGAAGTGGCCGCGCGCAATTGGTGCCTGCGGCGGGCGTCGGGCAATTGAGCGTCGCAGATGCGCCGCCGGCGGCGGCGGCAGCGGCCTCGCGGCGATTAATCGAGCGCCGCGCCGAGTTTTTCGGGGAGCGAGCGAGCGAGCGAACGAGCGACCGGCTCAGGCCGGCCGTGACCCTGCGCCGCGCACGGGCCGACGATCGGCTGCCCTCGGCGGCGGGCGCTTCCGTTCGATTGGCGTCGAAGATCGGCGGCCGGCGCGCAGGTACGTGGCCAGATAAGAGGCCGAGGGGAAAAGTACGCGCGTCGCGCGCGCAACGAGCCTCATTGGAGCGAGCGCGGAGCATGTGGGTAGCCGGGGTCAACGACGAGCGGGCAGGCCGCTTTGGAGAGGGATCGGCCGCGGCGAGAGAGGGAGACGCATTAGTGAAGGGAGAGACGACTTTTATTCGGGCGCGAGGAAGTCGGCGATTGGTAGCGGGGTAGTCGTAGGCGGCTTGCACGCGCAGCAGCTCTTTGTGCCAGTGCAGTTGGTTTCGCGCCGCGTGCCCGCGCTCTCGCTTCGCTGCCGCCGCCGGGGATCGCGCGAAGACGCTACCGCCGCGCGTGGACGTGCTCGGGTCGCCCGCTGCAGGCCCGTCTTGCACGGGCAGCCGTCCGCGCTGTGCCCCCTCCGGTTTTCCCGTCTGCCTCGCCGCCAACGCTCCGACTGATCTTTGCAGAAGCAGCAGCCGCGGCAGCAGCGGCAGCAGCAGCAGCAGCAGCAGCAGCAGCAGCAGCAGCAGCAGCCGAGCAGCGGCCAGTGCGCGTCTTGCAAGAGTCCGAAGGTCGGCCCAGTCATGACCGTCTGCCGCACCCGCGTGCCCTGGAGGTTCTCCGCCAACTTCTTCATCGCGCTCACAGGTTTGACGCACATCCGCTACCGGTCGTCGCCGCGGCGCCGCGGCCGCGACTCGCGCGATCGCTGGCGCGACGACGACGCTCCGGTTGTCGCGTCGTTGTCCAATTGGGACTCGGCAGTATCGGCTTTCTCGCGCGGACGACTCGCGCTGCGGTTTGGCGCGCGATACAAGTCTCGATTGCGCAAACGAAGAAACGCGACACTGATACGCCGATGGACGAAGCGCGTCCGACGGTCGAGCGCGCTAATTGTCCGCGCATCCGCGCGCGCGGGCGAGCGCCCGTTTGCATTTGTGCACGTCGCACTTGTCGGCTCGGCCGCGATTCCGCTTTTCGATCGACCTACGCGAATCTCGCGGCCGCGGCTCGGCCGAACGCGCGAGGGCCGAACGCAGTCGCGCCGATTATCGCGAGGTGAAAACAGGTGCTCCGGCCGCTCGCCAAATTAATGGTGCGACCAGTGCGCCCGACGCCGTCCGTAATCAATTTGCGCCTTACGTAACGCACAGGGGATTACGGCTAAAAACCGAGACGGCGGCTCTCCCGGCCATTAGCGTTTGCTTTATTGGCGGTCGGGCGGCGCGCGCAGGTGTTGGCGAAAGCCACATCAATCGGCGGCGCGGCCCCGCCATGCTTTTCGCAAATCCAATCGATCGCACGCTCTTCGGCAGTGTCGCTGATCATGCTGCTCGGCGAGCTCGGCTGGATACCCAACCAGAAGGTGGGCTTCTACTGCAACGACCCCAAGATCTCCTTCAAGTTCACCGGCGACTCGATATCCATGGCCACGCTGCTGGTCGTCTCCATAGTGGTGCCGGCGCTGGTGGTGAGTCCCCTCGGACGAGCCTCGACGACGACGGCCCCGAACGATCGAACAATCGAACAATCGAACAATCGAACAATCTAATAACGGAATAATCGATCGGTGCGCGGCCGACTGACAGGTCTGGGCGGTCGAGTGGTGCTGCTACAGCCCCGACAGCTACAAGAGCCTGGAGTGCGGCTCGAGCTCGCGGAGTCGGCAGTTCTGGGCGTGGTACGGCTACTACTCGCTGGGCTGGTGGTACCTCATCTTCGTGGTGGAGGTCATCAAGGTGGTGGTCGGCGAGCCCAGGCCCCACTTCTTCGACTCGTGCCGGCCCAAGGAGGTGTCCAACTGCAGCGCCGACGAGTAGGTGATTTCCGCTGGTCGAGCCCCTCGCCTCGCACGAACGATCGCTAACCCGGCCTCTCGCTTTGCAGGTTCAAGACGTCCTACACGTGCACCAACACCGAGCTCTCCTGGTTCTACGTGAACGACTCGGACAAGTCGTTCCCCTCGGGCCACTCGGCCCTCTCCATATTCACCGCCACCTTCCTGATCGTGAGTACCCCCCGACGAGGCCCTCTGCCGCCGAGCGCCGCACTAACGCGACGGGCGCGCGTCTGCTCCGCAGTGGTACCTGCAGTGCCGCATGCCCGAGCGGCTGGTGCTGATCCTGGTGAAGCCCTGGCTGCAGTGCCTGGCCGTGCTCTGGGGCCTGGGCTGCTCGCTGTCGCGCATCACCGACAAGCGCCACCACTGGTGGGACGTGGCCGCGGGCAGCCTGCTGGGCCTCCTCTTCGGACTGTTCACCGTGCGCGTGCTGTGCCGGCGCTTCGAGGCCGCGCCGCGGCTGCCCGCGCACCTGGCGCTCGAGGCCAACGCGGTGGCCGGACTGGGCGCGCTGCCGTCGCCGCCGCCGCCGCCGCCCGCCAACGGCTACGCCGCGCCCGACGCGCGCCGCCACCAGAGCGTCAAGAAGCTGCTCAGCGCCAGCAGCAGCATCGACCTGCCCGACAGCCGCGAGATGGGCGACCTGGCCCACACCTGGACCGCCTGAGCCTCGCCCGCGCGATACTTAAGCGCGCGCCTGCGCCCGGGCAACCGGGGCCGGCAGCCGCGCAGCGTCGCGCCGGCCGCCACGGCGCCTTGGGCGACGCGCCACTGTACGCATACCCGTCCACCGTCTCCGAGTGCCCCGACCGCGGCGCCGACACCTTCGGCCGCTGCGGCTCGAGGCAGTCTCCCTGTTCGGCGTTGTCATCGGTGACCCGGTCGGGAAGTCGGGAGGCCGGTTCCCGCGGAGGTCCCGCCGCGTCGATCGCGGCCCAAGACGAGAGCGAGGCGAGGCGAGTTCGCGTCTCGTTCCGCTCAGTTTGGTTCGCGGGGCCGTTGCAGCACCGCTCGGTCTCGATCGAGCAGCCGCGCGCCGAAACAACTCCGACGAGCCGTTCGCTCTCCCGCCCCTCGTCCCGAGCGGCCTCACGTGTGCACGGCTCAATTGCGCAACCTTTTTTCGCTAAATCCATCGAATCTTATCTGCGCTCTACAAGCCAAAATTGTAAGCGATGTATTCTTGCAAGCTCTGCGAGTGGCGTTCGCATTGAATTTGAGTTTCCGTCGGCGCTGTAGTTTGCCACCCGCAGGCGAAAAATGTATTGCGATGGAAAATATAATTGCAAACATGTGATTTTCTCCATAGTAATTAAGATTTATTTAGTGATAATTAAGTCTGTATAAATTTCGTAAACACACGGTTCACAGTAGAATTACGTTAGAGTATTGATTTGGAACCAATAAAATTACAGCATGAATACAATATTTAAATGTAGCTCTTAGCTCGACAAATGTTAAATGTATGATAAAATGAACGAATTGTTAAAGGAAATTGTTTGAAGATTTTCTATCGAATGTTTTAACTAAATAAACTATTTTTGCCTAGACAATCAAGTTTAGTTTTCATGTTACGACCTCATGTGGATAATCGCAATACTTGTTAAACGATCAAGTTTGTATTCTGAAATCGCAATTTCAGGCAGCACAAAAGGTAAAGCAACTGTTCTTTCGTAAAATAATCCGTTGAAATGTTGCCGCGGAAAAATATTATTTTGCAAATGTTCTGTCACTGTAAATCGAGTTCAAGTTTAGTTTATTCCCCTCGGTGTATTCATACATAAGCTTCATGCATCGTTACACGAAGCTATTTTTTCGTAGCGCTTAAACATTCGAAATGGTGTTATAAAGGTTTTTTTGAAAATTGAAATGAAAAGCTGCCGTGTGTTCACTCGTATCATGAACGCTTTTTTTTCTCGAAATGTTCAGAAGCACCAAAACATATTAGTGACACCGAGTAATACTGTTAGAACATACAAAGCATTTGCCGCTATCACATGCGCGACTGAATAAATGAGGCAAAGTTTGTACGAGTGCAAAAATTTATCGACAGTCTACCTCTGATAGTCATTTGGAATTATCTTGCAAATATTGACAAAGCAAGATTTCGCGTGGAAAATTAAACAGCCTCTCCTAGTTGGAAAAACGCGTAGTTAAGATTGCAATCATTTACCGAAGGAGAAAAAAAAATCTCGGCCAGACGTAAATGCAGTCCTCAAATTCTAAAGCTCGTAATGCTCCGGTCAAAGATTGACGAAGTGCCAAAGTGTAAGCGGCAATAGAAGAGCACAACGAGCAAAAAAATCGGAGCATTGCATCGTTCGGCTATAAAGGGGAAATCAAACGAATTCCGGACGCGTCGCGCACAACAGAGAAAGAGACAGAACTAACGGCGCAATCAAGATCCCGTGATGAGTAATAAAAAGTGTAGCAGCCGTCGCCAGCTGGGATACGCAAAAAACAAAACGAACGAACAGAAAAAGAAAAAAAGGAAAAGGAGAAACGAGCGCAAAGCGGCTGAAAGACTTGGCCGCACGCGCGCGTGCGGCCGTGATTTTCGCGGGTTTTATCAACGAGCGCGCGATAGTAGAAAAACGACGACAGAAGGAGAGAGCGAGAGCGAGAGAGACAGACAGAGGAACAAACAAAAGTGCGAGCAAAAAGAGGAGCGAGAGCGGAGCGGAGCAGAGCGGGGCAGAGAAAGAGAGGAAAAAGGAGAGAACGAGGGAGCAGCAGCGAGAGGCAAGAGAAAAACCAGGGAAAAAGGATGCAGCACGCGTCGGAGGGCGGCGGGCGGCGGGCGGCGGGCGGGCAGGTACAGCGGGAGAAAAAGCCGGGGCGGGCGGACTGGATTTGACGCGGCACGCGCTCGGGAAAGAGTTGGGGCCGGGGCGCGCGGGCGAGTCGGCAGAAGACAAACGGGCCGGGGAGCAAAAAAGCGCCGGCGCTACGTAGCCGGGGGCAGGCGCGCCGGGGAAGGGCCGCGCGCGCGGCCGGAGGGGCGAGAGAAATGGCGAAAGGATGAGGGGCTGCGCGCCCGGCCCCCGAGTTTAATAACGCGGCATCCCCTTTACTCCGGGCCGGCCGAAGGCGAGCTCCCCTTTAAGCGCCAGCGCGGCAAACAACTGTCCGATCCCAGCACGGGAAAGCACGCCGGGCGCGGCGCCCGGGCCGCGCGGGGCCCGGGGCCCCGCCGCACGGGCGCGCCGCGGTCGGCCGGGCCGAGGCCCGCGAGTGCGGCCCCCGCGGCCCCCGCGGCGGCCCGCGGCCGCCGTCGGAGTCGCGGGCCCCGGGTCAAAGGCTGCGCCGCCGGCGCCGCCGGCGCCGCGGCCCGGCAAACTTTGGTCGCGCGCCGCGCGGACGGCGCGCCGCCGCCGGCGCCCGCGGCGCCGCCAATTCGAAAGCGCGCCTCTGGGTCGACGCGCGCGGCCGCGCGCCCCTCGCCACCGGCCGGCCCGGCTCGCCGGCCCGGCCGCGGCTTTTTCGCCGAATTTCCGGCGGCGCGCGCTTGGACAATAGCAGCGCGGCGGGCGCCCGGCGCGCGCGATAGCCTGAGACGGGAGAGCGAGCGGGCGGGCGGGGAAGGGCGGGTCGCTGGCTCGCCTCGCTCGCGAGGGTGACGAGGACGGCGAAGCGAGACGGCCCGGCCCTCCGGCCGCGGCCCGGCGTGCCTTTTGTCTCGCGCTCGGGCCGCCGGAGAGGGCCTCGCCTGCGCGCCTGTGCCGCTGCAGCTCTCGCCGCGCTCGCCGCGCTCGTTCGGCCGCGCCATCTTCGCGTTCGCGCGGGCATCGGGGCTGGCTCGCGTCGGTCTTATCTTGACGAGCGCCTCCGAAAACGCAGCGGCGCACGAGAGAACGCAAGCCCGATGGCGGGCAACGATAATTTGGCGTTATCGATTGGCAAGCGTGTAGTGGCGCAAACTGCAGCGGTGCGGAGCGCGGGGTCCTCGCTTCCGCGCGCGCCGAGCATACGTAACGAGCGGAAGGAAGAGGCGAGCTCGCCTGGAACGGCGCGTCGGCCCGCCTTTTTCTCGGCGGCGGCGGCGAGTTTCGGGCGGCGCCGCCCGCGAGAGGGTCGCCTCGGCCGCCGCGGACGCGGGCCCGAGGCGGCGACGAGGCGGCGACGAGGCCGGCGTCGCGCGATCCCGCGTCGCGATATCGCGCACGCAACGCGTGCGAGCGGGGCGGGGAGGCAGGTGCGTGCCGCGCGGACGTATCGCGCTGTCCGCGGCCGACCTACATCGTCGCCGCGTCGCGTGCGCCGCGCACCACGTCCCGCCGGCAGCGGCCGGCGGAGGCTCGCGCGCGCGCCTCCTTTCCGCGCCGGCAAATCGATCGCGCTCGCGATGTGCTCCGCACGAGCATCCGCCGATGCCGCGTTGATCGCGCCAGCCAGCGGCTCCTCGCGCTCGAGCGCGCCCGGCGAGAACGGGACTGCGGTGGACCTGTCGGCAATCGATTCGGAGCGGCGAGCTTGGAAGCCAGTCGCGCCCACGTAGCCGCGGACGCGAAGCCGCCGCTGCGCCGGCGGATCTAGATAAGGCGCCGACGAGTTTTGCCCTGATAAATAGAAGAAAGTGGAAAGTGCTTGGCCTCTCTTGGCTTAATTAATCGGCGCGCGGCGCGGCGTTGCCATTAGCGCGGAAAAGAAAGGCTCTCTCACGCGGCAAGTGCGCCGGCTGGTTCGAGGGGGGCTCCTCGGTGCCTGGATGCCCCGGCGGCCGCGGCGGCGCGTGTGCGTGGGACGCATGCTTAATTTAGCTCCTCTTGTCCCGACGTCGCCGCCGTCGTCGTCGCCGTCAGCGCTGGCGGCGGCGCGCCCGCTAGATGCAAAGCCGCGCTGCGATTGTTCCGCGCGTACACACGCGGCTGCCGGAAAGCAGACCTTAATTATCGTGCGCGATACTTATCGATGCCTTTATGCAGCGCCCCGAGCCGCCTCTCCAGATCTGCTGCGACGGCGCCCGGCGAGCCGCCGCCGCCGCCGCCGCCGTCGCTGCGCGTCCACGAGGCCCCTCTCGCCCATTGTGTCTCCGGTGCAAAAAAAGAAAAATAAGAAAAAACCGTACGGCCGCGCGATGCCTGCACTCGTTACGGTCTTTTATCAATATCGCGATAACGTTTTAAAAATGTAGCTGCTCTCTCGCTCGCTCGCTCGCTGCGTGTTCTGCATGTTTGCGCGCCCCGTTCACGTGCTGCGTACAATGCGTGTTGTGCAGTAGCAGCTATCGATTTTGCCGAGGCTCGCTCTGGCGCATGCCGCGCGAATAAAAACAGAGGGAGCCGAGAGAGAGAGAGAGAGAGCGAGAGAGCGCACGCGAGAGAAAGAAGAACGCGAGAAAAAAAGGCGCATTGTTCGGCGCTCTGCTACAACTTGTCCTTCCGCGCTAAGCCAAATCCTTTGAAACTCTGACCGAACAATGCAGCGTGTGTCTCGCGGGCGCGCGACGGAAGGCAGACGGGGGTCGCGCGGCGACCAGCCCCGCGGGCGGGTCGTCGGGGCACGATGGCCGAGCGTCGACGGGCACAGCGAAGGTGGCGCGTCACCGTCCGTCAGCGCGCGGCCGGCCAGCGCGCTCGCGTGCATGCAAATGCATGGGTGCGCGCGTGCGCGCGTCAGTGCGTGCCTGCTGCGTGCCTGCTGTCGCCGCCGCTGCAGTGTCGCCGGCGCGCTCGAGCGCAGGTGAATGTGTAAGTAGGTGGGCGCGCCTGCACGCGAGCGCGCGTACGTCAGCGCGAAACGGCCGCTCGCCCGTTTCGCAACGGCCGCGAGCGCGCGTCGATTTTCCATCGAGGCCGCGGGCA